ATGGACGCCGCCATAACTGACCTTCAGTTTTTGTCTCCTCTCATTCCGCTTATTTCACTTCATCATTACCATAGCAGGCCAGGTTATTGCCATATTAGATTCAACTGTGTCCTTTTCTAAAGCATCGGCCTTCGTACAGGATCGCCAACTACCGTTTCAGTTGCTCGGCATCTCGGTAAGACAAGAGAAGGTCAGCAATGGCGGCTGTAATTTGGCACGTGTGTAAAGCGTCTATAAATTCGAGAAATATGAGCATCGTTCATCCCCTCAACTCGGAGTCAGAAGCGGCCGCGTGGCCTGGTGCCTATCTTATGGCATATCAAGGTCAGGCAGTGCTGAACCTCAAAGGTGAAATGATACATCCGCAGAACATCCTTGACCAAGAAGTACACAACAATTAGGCATGCAGAAGCAGAACCAGCTTTAATCATAGCCACGCGCCGGCACCGAAGTGGTTGAACACGAGCCACTGCCCGAGTGTCCGCCGAGGCATTGATTGTTACGAGCCGAAATCCACTCACGCAGTTCTCGTGTCCAATCCATGAGCCGCTCTCGAGTGTCGTCAGGCGGGTGGTTTCGATCTCGCAATTACGTCATCAAACTTTGCGAAGGCAAGACTGAAAGGTGGACGTCCGTGCGAGTATACTTGGGGGCCAGACTATAGGAACAGTACGCCTCTGTAAAGTCCGATAAAGCCGATAAATACATGGTGAAACCGAAAATTGTCTAACTCTCATCCTTTTTTTTTTTTTTTTAATCTGGTTCGAATTAAAATTAAACACGTACCGTGTATGTTAGTTTTCACGCATAGTAAGTGAAGGTATCAAATTACAACGTAAAATTGTACGAGTGATTTTTTTTTTTCAACCTGCGATGAACTGGTTACAGAAAACAATTAAGATCGAGAAAAGCTGTTTTAATATACACAAAAATTAGATGCACATTGTATTTTCTCCACGTGATCACACAGATTTAGGCACTGAAATGGCACCAAAATTTGGAATGACCTCCTCAAAAAACAGTTGCTGCCTGTTCCACCACGCACAAATAAGACCTATACAGTCGGCACGGACATGTACTATGGAGAGAACTTCGTGAAGTGTTTGGAAGGACGAACATACGTCCATGATGATAAGGGTCAGGGACGAACGTCTGCGACGACCGGCATTCTTGTTCGATTCGGTGGTAACCTTCCTTGAGGAGGGCATCCAAATTGTGCCACGTCATGATATATGTGCAGCGATTATGTGGAGAAGTCGGTACAGTAAGTATCTAACTGGTTATGCATATTAAATAATTTTTCATGATACTTGTCGTCCAGTGCATCAAACATTAAAAAAAAAAAAACGAGAGAAAAAAACGCGCGCGTTTAAAAACACTGCCTTGTGGCCGGCTTTCTAAGATTAGCCAAACAGGCACAGGGGCATTGCCAAAGTGTCAACTTCGCCCGGTTGGCATTTTTAAATACATTATCGAACTTGTCGCCACCGATAACAGGTAGCCAGGACCATAGCTCTTGACGTCACGACTAGGCAAATCCTGGTCGTGACGTCATGGACAAAGACCACGAGATGGCTCCACTGAAGCAACATGGCTCCACAAGATGGCGAACGGTACCGCTAACTATAATAGGGAGTTTTCGTAGACCGCGTTTCCCCCTCCGTTAAGCCCTCCGCGACGAAGAGGCCGCTACTGCGCCTGCGCGCCGATGGCCTTGGCTGTGGAGTTCCGGGCATCGTAGCGGGTTGCGGAGAGTGCTGTGGGACGGGTAGACTCCCTAATAGGGAGTGATCGTTTTTCTCCTCCGCTACGGTATCCCCGAAGAAAACGCCGCAGCTGCGCATGCGCGCCGCCAGCCTTGTCTGCATAGTTCATAGAGATCATACATGTGGCGGATTACGGCCACATGTATTATGCTTAGCGGGCTGCGGGAACGGTCTACTACAATTCCCTAATGACTACAATAAGGAGTTTTCTTAGGGTCGTTTCCGCTGTCTCCCAAACGTTCTCCGCAACTCGCTACGAGGTCCGGGACTCTGAAGGCAAAGTTAGCGCCGCGCGTGCGCAGTGGTGGAGTTTTCGTACCAGAGAGCGTATACGGCGGATCTGGGAAAACGGTCTGCGAAAACTCCGTGACGTTGATGGCGTCAAGTTGGGAAGCGCTGTGAAAAGTCGCTGTCAGAACGCGCCTTGCGGCGCCGACGACATCCAGCGGAAAGGACGCGAAAAACCGAAGCGGGGAACTTTACGGCCTATCCAAGTGTGCAGCGAAAACTGGCTCGCCCCGGCGGGTCGAAATGTGAAAGGACGTCAGATTGTCAATGTCATTTTTTTATAACTGAAGTAATGCCCATAAAATTTTAAGAGAAATGTTATCAGTAAATTGTAGATACTGTGGGAAAGGAACCAGGGTTTCCAAAACAAGGCACTACATTTAATGTTTGAAGAACGGGACGAATAGTAGAACACTATTCGTGCCCCACACACTAAAGCGTTCGGCGTGCGGGTGCCCATGGCCGGCCTCGGTCCAGAAGATCCCTTCGCACTTGTAGCGGCGTCTTTTTAGATCCAGGATCCAAGGCCCTTGAATGCATCGCGCGCGTCGCGCTCTGCGCCAGCGTGCGTTCCTCTCACAAACACGCAGCCCGCGGGCCGCACGCGGCCCGCAAGCCTCCCACGGATGCGAGATCCCATTCCCTAGAGTAAATGCATAACTCTACCATTCCCATGCTTTGGGCGCCATAAATAATAGTATTATATTTTCGAATCATTTCCGCCCGAAAAGGAGC